AGTTTAATGTTGGGTCTGGAAGTCCTAGCATTTGGTGGTGACGTCCAATTGCAGTTAAGTAGAATCTTGGTTTCATAAATCGTGATAGTAAGTCTGTCCAAATTAAAAACATTAAGATTGAACTTGGGTGGGCTGGACAGGAAGATAGCTCATGAATCTCACAAAAGTTTGCAAATTCTGCCCACAATGAACAAAGCCGCTTTTCATAAAGAGTCTTTAATTGCAAGGTTTCATGAGCTTTAGCTAGTAGTTCTGTTAAAAATACAGAGTTATCGCTTGAAATCTCCAATGCAGGTTTTTGCATGGTTCTGGAAAAAGGTTTTCTCCTGGGCAAGGTAAAAAACTTTGGGTTGGAGGAGGCAGATCTATTGATTCTTTCTTTTGTTGCAGGAGAAGTGGCCACCAAGGAGCTGATGGCCATATCGGGATAATTATAGTTGTTCTGGCCTGACACTCTATTGCCTGTTCGAACACTCTGTGTATTAAGCTTAGTGGGGGCAAACATAGTTGTTTTCATGGACCCAACTTTGAGTGAAGCAATCTGTTGCTTCTGATTCTTGACAAAAGAAACGGCTGTTGAACCGTCTTACTTTCCTTGTCAGATAACTCGCCATTCTGTCCACAGTGAAGGGGCCCCAAAGTGTGTTTACCATATTGAATACTGTTGGAGCTAGCATCCAATCTGATTTGTCCACAAATCTTGTTAATTCGTCAGCTGGGTTTAGATGAGATGGAATCCATTGAAATTCGTGAATATAAATGTTGTGTTGATTGCAAAGATCCCACACTTCGCGCATAATAGTTTTTTGCCAGGGTCTTTTGCCCCCAGCTTCTACAGTTTTTCAGGCAACCCGATTTTCTATAAAAACTGTTACACACTTTCCTGTTAATATTTGAACAAAGGCTTCGAGCCCTAATAATGTGGCCATTGACTCGAGGTATGCTATATCTGTATGTTTGTGGGTATAAACCCAATTTCCAAATGCATGATTTGTTTCTAAAGTTGCTGCCCAGCCTACTGTAGATGCGTCAACAAACAGGGGCATTATACGAGAAGGCTTCCATGCTTGCTTTCCATTTTTTGCTTTTAGAAATTCTACTACCCAGTTTATATCGCTTATTGCCTGAGATGTTAATTGAACTGGTTTGTCCCAATTTTAAATATTCCGATTTTCTGTATCTATAATTGAGTAAAGTTCTAAACACCTTACTTTTGTATAAATGAAAGCTTGGCTCAAGCTCATTAATTTCCCTGCCACAGAAGACAACTGATGAGCTGTTATTAGTGTTTGTTTCAATAGAGTCCAAAGACTGTATAATGTCTCATTTATCTTTGACTCGGGTGCAATTACTTTCCCTGTTACTGTATTTCTAATCATTCCAAAAAACTTTGCTTCCTGTGTTGGTTCTAGGTGTCCTTTATTTGCCAGAATAAGCCCACAATTCTTTAGATCTGGAAGTATAACTGAATCTCTGATCTTTAGCAAAGTTATTTGTTTTGGATGTGCAATCTATATATCGTCCACATGGTTTCCACAGAAGATACCATTTGCCCGCCAATGACCTATAAGTGCCTTCATAATTTTTGAAAATACCTATACTGAGTGGCTTAATCCAAAGGGCAGAACCCGATAATAGTACCAATTTTCTCCTACTCGAAAGCCTAATAGGCGTTGTGCTTGTTCGTTCATTAATATATGATGATAACTATCTTTTAGATCCAAGACAATTATCCACCAGTTCCGTCCAATCATACGCAAGAAAGTTTTGAAACCCTCGAATTTGAAACTCTTTTCTGGTAGTGTGGCATTCAAATGCCGGAGATCTATAATTAAACACCATCTCTTTGAACCCGGTTTGGGTATTACAAAAATTGGGCTTACTTCTAATAAATGTACTGGTCGCTTCTTTCTCTTGGACACTAATACAATTGTTTTTCCTCCATAAGACGATTTAACTCTATTTCTAGCCATGTTTGCTGATCTAATGTTAATTGGTACTGAAAAGAATCTGGTTGTAAAGTCAAAGAAAGAAGGCTTCTTGGAAAAAGTGAAATTCCTTTCTTAAACCATTCAAAAATCAAATAAGGGGCCTGAATTTTTGTTTCCCAATACTCTATATGTTTTTTTATATGTAGACAACCCACCACTAATATACTTAAGGGGGCCCGAGCATAGTCATTCATGTCTTTCAGTTTCTTGTGACTTGTCATATTTTCTCTTATATGCCGAGTATCTACGTGATTTATATCCATACTGGGTATTTCGATATTGTCCTGAACTTTTATTTGGATCTAAGAGGCAGGAACTGGCAAAGTAACCATGTCCGTCACAGATATAACACCTGAACGAAAATGATGATGATCTATTATGTTGCAATGAGCTAGTCCGAAAAAATTTTGTTGCACCTTGGTGTTCATTCTGAAACCTTGGTTGGTATTGTTCTGCTGACTGATTCTTCCACTGTCTATTTCCCTGAAACTTTGAATTTGTTGCAACTTTTTGTCGTTTTGTTCGCTTGGTATCAACTAATGTTTTTGCTTTTTTGATCAAACTTAAACTATCCTTACTCTTTAACCAATCATCTTGTGTATTTGGCAATGCAGAGGCAATATCTCAACCATAGCCTTCATAACCCGAAGAGTAAACATTCTGTTTGCTGTAACTTCACAAGCTTGTTCAATATGCTCCAAAACATCAGCCACACTTCTAGATTCAGCGGCCAGATCAAGTTCTTTCCCAATTGAACATAAAGCATTGTACTCATGTTGATCACGCAACTTTTCAAACTTGTGGATAGGCCAAGCTTCATTTATTTCCACCTTATGACGCATATCCTGTACTTGATCTGCCACCATGTTCAATTTATCGTTAAACTTCAACAACGCACTTTCAATTTTCTTAAAACTCTGTAACAAACTGGTTTCCAGAATATTAGCTCTATCTTTCTCAAATTCAAAAACTTTACGCTTATTAGAACTCTGTTGTGATACTTGTTCTGTCCCATGTACATTGACGTTATCAACATTCTGGGTCTCATGACCATATAGGTGACTAACTCCAGGCTCATCTGTTTCTACCACCACTGCCTTCCCTTTATGACACGTATTTTGAACCAACTCACGCAAGAACGTGCTTGGAAGTTTAGAGCTGATGTACCTGAACCCTCAGAGAGTGAGTCTGGTAACTGTTCATCTATATTCATTTCATCATCCATATTCTCATTTGACTCAGTCTGTTGTTTGCGAACATCGTCAAGTGTATACTCCTTTATTCTTTGAACTAGGTCGGCCTTAACACCTTCGGTAGCCAAGCCAAGACCACAACAAATATCCTCTAGGACAGCTTTGGAAAAGTTTGACTCAGCCATTATATTTTACTGTACTCAAATGTTTTTCGCTTAATTGATAATCCGCCTATGAACTGGAGAATAGGCGAAATGAGACGTCTGCTATCTAAAACTTTTTTCTTACTAAGTTAACAATACAAGCTTACTAATTGAAAGTTGTAGAGCTCGCCGAGATGCATCTAACGGTGGTTAGATCATCCAATCCGGCCCAGTAGATGGCGAGATATCGTCGAAATACAATTGGCCGACTATATAAAAATCCGTGACGGAAATTATATATGAAAATCACCATCGGCGAAACGTGGCGTGCACCCATCTAAAACTTTTTTTCTTACTTAGTTAACGATACATGGTTACTAATTGAAAGTTGTAGAGCTCGTCAAAACGCATCTAACGGTGGTAAGATCATCCATATTGGCCCAGCCGATAGCGAGATATCGTCGAAAAACGATTGGCCGACTATATAAAATCTCTATGTAAACAAACATTGTTTACATATATAGTCGGCCAATCGTTTTTCGACGATATCTCGCTATCAGCTGGACCGATATGGATGATCTTACCACCGTTAGATGCGTCTTGATGAGCTCTACAACTTTTAATTAGTAACCATGTATCTTTAACTTAGTAAGAAAAAAAGTTTAAGATGGAAGCACGCCATGTTTTGCCGATGGTGATTTTCATATGTAATTTCCGTCACAGATTTTTATATAGTTGGCCAATCGTATTTCGACGATATCTCGCTATCTACTGGGCCGAATTGGATGATCTAACCACCGTTAGATGCGTCTCGACAAGCTTTACAACTTTCAATTAGTAAGCTTGTATTGTTAACTTAGTAAGAAAAAAAGTTTTAGATAGCAGACGTCTCATTTCGCCTATTCTCCAGTTCATAGGCGGATTATCAATTAAATTTAAATTCTAATGTAAGGTTAAAAAAAAATTTTTTTTAGATAATGATTTAGATTTTTTTTAGCAAATTTTTTTGAGTTTATAGTTTTTTGTTAATTGTAACAAGTTAATAGTTTTTTTTGAATTTAGGAATTTGAGTTTTTAGTTTAAAGTTTATTGTTTTAGCATTTTAGTAAATTTTATTTTAAGTTTAAGTAATTTGGGAACTGTAATAAATATGTAACTATAAGTTATGCACAAAGAATTTTAGTTGGAGTTTAGTTTTAAAATTGTTATGTGTAATAATTAGTTTGAAGAATTTGTTAGGTTTTTAGAAGTTTGTATTAAGTTGGAGTAGTCTAAGTAGATATTTAATATTTACTGTAGTTTAGAAAATTTTAAATATTGAATTTTAGCATAGAATTTTAATAAAGTTTTTAGAATAGAAATTTTTAAGTCACTGGTTAACTAGCTTGGAGGACCTTGCATCTTAAGGAGAAGAGATATATAATATAGTTATTAGCTCGATGGAGTACAATGTGATGATTATATGATCATATGATTATGATCATATAATATCAACAAACTAACAAACTTCTTGCTTATTTATTAATTTATTGCATAAATCATTACTTTATTATTGTTATACAAAGGTTGTTATATATAACATTGTTAGAATAACAATTAAATATCAAATAGATTTGTAACAAGGAAGATTTGTAATAAGTTATATAATCTAAATAGTATTATATTAAAGCTGTAAGCTTTAAATTTGGTAATGAAAACAGTTTAAGCATGTCTTTATTTCTAACTACCACTTGCCAGTATCTGCTAACTATATCAAGATTAGCAAACTATTTTGTTTATTTGAATACAATTAAAATTTTGTTAATATTAAATAGAAGATAAATATTTTTTTTGTTTAGCTTATAATAGTTAATACAAATTTGCTTGCTACTATTCTTTTTTAGAACAAAAACTATAACTAATATCTAAAAGCTCTTGATTAGTTTGATAATCTCTTGCTTTTCCATAGCTAATATCTTTTTCTAAAGAAACTCTTGTTTATCTCAAGACATACTATATAGTTGCTGTTTAATTAGTAAAGTGCTACCTGTATTATTTTATAATATATTAGATTAGAATGTTTTAATCCAACTGTTCAGTTTTACTAATTTTTTTACAAAAATATTAATAATCTTTTGCAGTAAATCTTATGTCTGTTGTTGTTGATTTATTAAAAGATTCTTATTTATATTAAAAAGAATCTATTTTTATTTTTGACAGTTTTTTAATAATTTATTTAATAGACTATTTATCTGTTATCTGGAGAGAATTGCAAATTTTTATAAGTAAATTTTACTATTGAGCTAAATGTTAAATGCTCTAATCTAAACTTTTTTTACTAAGTAAATTACTTTTGGGCTTCTAATGAAAGTTGTAGAGCTCATCAAGACACATTTAATAATAATAAGAATATTAAGGGTAGGGTGTCTATAGATCATTTTTCATATGATCTACATGGCAAATTAATATTTACATAGGAAATCATGTGATTGACCAATCAAAATTATCAAAACAATAGATTCAACCAATCAGAATTAGTTATTTTGTGCGATCTAAGAAAATTCATGGTCACCTAAGATTTTTTATCAATATACAAAGTTGAATTTTTTTAAAAGATATAATGTTCATAATTTTACTGCTATAAATAAGAGATCCCAAATTAAATGCTGCAAAAATTTGGTGAATATTAGTCACAATT